TTTGGGGCTTTTTCTTATATAGGATCCTAGTACCCCCCCACCCCGTCTTGATTTTTCACACTTGCTGTCTGGTCAGCCTAATCTCAGCCAAAACTTGTCTGCAACTACTGGGGCACCCGGGGGCGAGCACCATTGTCTTCAAGGGTGGGTCAGAACAGTATACGTCCCGAGAAGACACAATTTAAACAAACTTCTATCAATGCCCTCAACAACCAAAAACTCGCTTGACTGGTGGGCAGATCCTCACAGTGTATGTGTGGGAGTCCCCTTCACTCAGCCACCCCTATTGTTGATTTTGACGATGGGTGCATTCCTTATGGGATGGGGAGCCCACTTACACCATTCAGGGCAAATGGTCCCCTCTCGAATCCACACTATGTATCAACTTCTTAGAACTCAGAGCAGTCTTCTCACACTTCCTACCAGTGATCAAAGACGAACATATAAAGATTGAGACAGAATTGCATGTATGTTCTATATAAACCACCAGGGAGGAACAAGATCACATTCCCTGTGTGCCAAGGCAGTGAAAATATGGAACTGGCGCATTAATCACCAGATCGGCATCTCAGCAACCTACCTCCCAGGCATACAGAAGACTACAGCGGATATTCTGAGATTTTTCCCAAGATCCAAAATGATATTTGAGCTAAAGAAAAGGCCAGAGTTATTCTTGTAGTTCCAACGAGGCCAAGGCAGACATGGTTCCCCTACCTTTTCCAGCTGGCAGTCTGTCCATCAATTGCTCTCCACTCCATTCCTCATCTTCTTTCTCAAGATGCAGGCCAGAGTCATCACCCAAATCTGCAAGTTCTCAGACTCAAAGCATGGCTCCTCATTGGTGCCAAAGATTAGAAATGAACTGTTCTGAGGATAGGTTTCAGAGGGGTAGCCATGTTAGTCTGTATCAGTAAAAGCAACGAGGAGGAGTCCTTGTAGCACCTTAGAGACTAACAGATTTATTTGGGCATAAGCTTTCGTGTGAAGGAAGTAGTTACATAGCAGAAAAATAGCTTGTCACACATACATTCAAAAATGGAACAGATTCCAAATCTGATGTGACGCAAGACAGTTTACTTTTACTTCCTCTCTGTTACTGGAAATCAGACCTATCTCTACGCTTGGTAAAGGTACATCTCACAGCCATTAACATTTTCTACTGGAAGATAGATGGTCATTTGGTGTTTGCTCATCCTACAATGAAAAGATTTCTTAAAGGTATGGGTAACCTCTACCTTTGAATCAGAGATCTTACACCAGTATGGGACCTTAATCTTGTCTTAAACTGTCTGACAAGGTCAGCCTTTGAGCCTGTGGCCACTTGCTCACTTCTACACCTCTCTGTGAAAACTGCATTCCTCATGGCTATTATGTCTGCTCGGAGAGAGGGGGCCCTAATGGTATATCTCCTCCCTTTATGATTTTCTTCAAGGACAAGGCCATATTGCGGCCACACCCCTAATTCCTACCAAAATACCTTCAGCCTTCCACATAAATCAACTTACTCACCTTCCAGCATTCTTTCCCAAACTACACCGGGATAAAAGGGAGGCAACGCTACACACACTCAACGTTAGAAGAGTGTTAGCCTTCTATTTGGAAAAGACTAAGCCTTTCAGAAAATCTCCAAGTCCTGGTCTACACTACGAGTTTAGATTGAATTTAGCAGTGTTAGATCGATTTAACCCTTTACCCATCCACACGACAAAGCCATTTTTGTTGACTTAAAGGGCTCTTAAAATCGATTTCTGTACCCCTCCCCAACGAGGGGATTAGCACTGAAATCGACCCTGCTGGGTCGAATTTGACGGTATTGGCCTCTGGGAGCTATCCCAGAGTGCTCCATTGTGACCGCTCTGGACAGCACTCTCAATTCAGATGCACTGGCCAGGTAGACAGGAAAAGCCCTGCGAAATTTTGAATTTCATTTCCTGTTTGGTCAGTGTAGCGAGTTGATCAGCACAGGTGACCATGCAGAGCTCATCAGCACAGGTGACCATGGAGTCTTAGAATCGCGAAAGAGCTCCAGCATGGACCGAACGGGAGGTACTGCATCAGATCACTGTATGGGGAGACGAATCAGTGCTATCCAAACTCCGTTCCAAAAGACGAAATGCCAGAATATTTGAAAAAATCTCCAAGGGCATGAAGGACGGAGGTTATAACAGGGACCCGCAGCAGTGCCACGTGAAGCCTACCAAAGAACCAGAGAGGTAAACGGCAGCTCCGGGTCAGAGCCCCAGACATGCCGCTTCTATGTGCCCCTATAACTACCCCACCCCTGTGCTTCCCTCCTTCCCCACCCCTCCCAGGCTACCTTGGCAGGTATTCCCCCATGTGTGTGACGAATTAATAAAGAGTGCATGAATTTGAAACAACGACTTTATTGCCTCTGCAAGCGGAGATCAAAGGGGGGAGGGGAGGGCGGTTGGCTTACACAGAAGTAGAGTGAACCAAGGAGGCGGGTTTTCATCAAGGAGAAACAAACAGAACTTTCACACCGTAGCCTGGCCAGTCATGAAACTGGTTTTCAAAGCTTCTCTGATGCGCAGCGTGCCCTGCTGTGCTCTTCTAACCGCTCTGGTGTCTGGCTGTGCGTAATCAGTGGCCAGGCGATTTGCCTCAACCTCCCACCCTGCCATGAACGTCTCCCCCTTACTCTCTCAGATATTGTGGAGCACACAGCAAGCAGTAATAACGATAGGAATATTGGTTTTGTTGAGGTCTAACCGAGTCAGTAAATGCGCCAGCAAGCTTTTAGAATGTGCCTTTGGACGTTTATCACCTTTATGCACTTGCTCAGCCTATAGTTGAACTGCTCCTTACTACTGTCCAGGCTTCATGAGCCATGGGAGCAAGGGGTAGGCTGGGGTAGGTGCGACTGCGTAGTGCTGCTGACTGGGAGAGCAGCCTGAGGCAGAAGCCTCCAGCTGGCATGATATTCCAGGCAGGACGGAATCTCCATTAGACGAAACTTAAAGAAGAGAATACCTGGAGTCATTCCCATTTTTGTCCAGGCGCCCCCGACCGACCTCACCGAGGCTGGCCAAGAGCACCCATGTCTGCACAGGCGCCCCGACCAACCTAACCGAGGTTGGCCAGGAGCACCCACGGGACGATGATGACGGCTAGCAGTCGTATTGTACCATCTGCCGGCGGCAAGGCAAGGGGATGCTGCTGTGTAGCACTGCAGTACCGCGTCTGCCAGCAGCACCCAGGAGACATACGGTGACAGTGAGCTGAGCGGGCTCCATGCTTGCCGTGGTATGTCGTCTGCACGGGTAACCCAGGAAAAAAGGCGAGAAACGATTTTTTGCCATTGCTTTCATGGAGGAAGGGAGGGAGGGAAGGAGGGGGGGCCTGATGACATGTACCCAGAACCACCCACGACAATGTTTTTGCCCCATCAGGCATTGGGAGCTCAACACAGAATTCCAATGGGCAGCGGAGACTGTGGGATAGCTACCACAGTGCAACGCTCCGAAAGTTGATGCTAGCCTCAGTACTGTGGGCGCTCACCGCCGACTTAATGCGCTTAGTAGGGACACACACAATCGACTGTGTCAAATTGACTTCTATTAAATTGACCTGATTTCATAGTGTAGACATACCACTATTCCTCTACATCTCATACAGATCTAAGGGATCCCCAATATCTGTGCAATGGCTCTCTAGATGGATATCGGAATGCATTAACTACTGCTATTGCACGCATGACCTACAGCCCCCTTTGAGAGCCTGAACGCACTCTATAAGTTCTGTCGACTTCTTTCCTTCCTCAATAACGTTTCAATCACAGAAATATGCAGAGCAACGACTTGGGCATCCACTCATACATTTGCCAAGCATTATGCATTCACTCGTGATTCAGCATCTGATGTGATACTTGGTTTGACCGTATTATCATCAATATTGGACTCCACTCCGATGCCCCACCCTTCCAACAGGGACACTGCTATAGAGTCACCTAGAATGGAACACTCGTAGAGACACTACTTGAAGAAGAAGAGGTTACTCACCTTGTGTTGTAACTGAGGTTCTTCAAGATGTGTCTCCCTATGGGTGCTCCACACTAGGTGACTCTTATATATGAGTTCTGCGGTAAAGAAGGAACTGAGGGTGGTTTGCCCATACAGCGCTAGACAGCGACAGAACATGGTGCAAGATGGGGAGAGAGCATGTGTGGGCCAAACGGACACTGATACCAAAAATATCCAATCAGGCGCAGGGATGTGAAGACACCTAGAGTGGAGCACCCGTAGGGGGACACACATCTCAAAGAGCCTCAATTACTGCACAAGGCGAGGAACCTCTTCTGTAATGAGCAGCAAAGCAGTTTTTTGAGAGGTTTACTATTATTTCATCATCAACAATCATTAAGCTTTCAGCACAGCTGTGGTTTAGAAATCCTAGGTCCTGTGCCACACTGCCACAGCTGCAGTCAGCAGGGGCATGCAAGCTGGAATGCCCGCACTATCCAAGAGAGGGGGCGGAGGGCAGATTGTTCCCTTTGAGTGTTCAGAGTCTCAAGAACTTGGTGCCACCTCACTTGGTCCATAATAGCTCAAATTTGGTGACCTTCCAGGCATGCAGCAAAAGACACCTGTTTGATAGGATTTTTGGAGAGGCTGTGTTTCTCACAATGATGAAAGAGTGGTAATTAGTTTCTGTAGGTGTCTAGCTGGCTCATTTCCTGTGAAATGATTACTTTAATGCTGCTGGGATATTGTTGTATTATCAATGATGTATTCGGGTACCTAAAGCCTTGGATAGATGTCTTTATTTTAAATCTAAATGCCAACCTATTTGATTCATTTAAGATCTTGCTTTGTTTTTAGTTGTGAAACTCTTGTTACATTGTTTTCAAGTTGTTACGCGCTTTTAAAAACTCTCAATGTATGGTTTTGTCTCAATACTTTTATAATATTTACTATTAAGATATTTTTATGTTGGTTATTTTTAACTTTTGCTCTCCCTCTTCCCCCTTTTTAATACTGCAGTTCCAAAAGAGTTGGTAGAACTTCACTTGAAACTGATGAGGAAGATTGGGAAGTCTGTCACAGCAGACAGATGGGAAAAATACTTGATCAAGGTACAGTAAATTTCTGTTCTATTACTCTGAAAATGCTGGGATCTGATGAAATCTTATGTCAGAAATCCCTAGTATGAATTTTAGTGAGCCTAGAGCTGTAGCCAAAATCTGTGTGCATGCCCAGACCAAAGTTGCTTAAGGTTTTAGTTTAACTAACTTTCAGCCTGCCTGGGTATGCGCACAAATTTCTGAAACTAGATACCAACTTCTGCATGTAGAAGGTTGCAAACCTGCAAGCTCTATTACATGTGCAAGACAGGAGCAGATTGGACTATAAGAATTATAGTGGCCAGTCAAAGCAGCGAGATTTCCATATTAATGATAAACTACTGTATCAGTAATTCTAATATGATGTAAATCCCTGTATTATAGCTGACAACCATATAGCGATTTGTATACTGTATGCTTATTGATAGCATAATCACAGTATTCTTATTTATCAGAATACCCAGAATTGAAAAACTGGGGGAAAATTGTAGTTATGCATCAATAGTGGTAAACCATCCCTTTGCTCTGATGCCAAGTTGGTTCCATATTGGAATTACAAATCACTTATGTAATGTTACACATTTACAGAGCACCTGATAAGCATATATAGGACATAGTCCTTGCTCCAGGGAATTTGCAGAGACTGAAAGGTCCATGTTTTATTAATAAAGCACTGTGCTAATCAGGAATACTTCAAATTGAACTTTGGTTATTCCTGTTATTTTAGTTGTTTGGTTGGCTGTCACTGAGCACTTTGTTTCAGAGGGGTAGCCGTTTTAGTCTCTAACAGTAAAAACAATGACGAGTCCTTGTGGCACCTTAGAGACTAATACATTTATTTGGGCATAAGCTTTTGTGGGATATAACCCACTTCATCAGATGCATGGCGTGAAAAAAAATAGGCAGGTGTAAATACACAGCACATGAAAAGATGTGAGTTGCGTTACTAAGTGTGGGGTCAGTGCTAACGAGGCCAATTCAATTAGGGTGGATGTGGCCCATTCCCAACAATTGACAAGAAGGTGAGAGTATCAACAGAGGGAAAATTATTTTTTTGTAGTGACCCAGCCACTCCCAGTCTTTATTCAGGCCTAATTTGATGGTGTCAAAAGTTGCAAATTAATTCCAGTTCTGTAGTTTCTCGTTGAAGTCTGTTTTTGAAGCCTTTTGTTGAAGAATGGTGATTTTAAAGTCTGTTATTGAGCGTCCAGGGAGATTGACGTCCTCTCCTACTGGTTTTTGAATGTTACAATTCTTGATGTCTGATTTGTGTCCATTCTTTTGCGTAGAGACTGTCCAGTTTGGCCAATGTACATGGCAGAGGGGCATTGCTGGCACATGATGGCATATATCACATTGGTAGATGTGCAGGTGAACGAGCCCCTGATTGTGTGGCTGATGTGGTTCAGTCCTACGATGGTGTCCCTTGAATAAATATGCGGACAGAGTTGGCAACGGGGTTTGTTGCAAGGGCTGGTTCCTGGGTTAGTGTTTCTGTTGTGTGGTGTGTAGTTGCTGGTGAGTATTTGCTTCAAGTTGGGGGGCTGTCTATAAGTAAGGACTTGCCTGTCTCCCAAGGTCTGAGCGAGTGAGGGATTGTCCATCAGGATAGGTTGTAGATCCTTGATGTTGCGCTGGAAAAGTTTTAGTAGGGGGCTATAGGTGATGGCTAGTGGCGTTCTGTTACTTTTTTTGTTGGGCCTGTCCTGTAGTAGGTGACTTCTGGGTACCCTTCTGGCTCTGTCAATCTGTTTCTTCACTTCCCCAGGTGGGTATTGTAGCTTTAAGAATGCTTGCTAGAGATCCTGTAGGTGTTTGTCTCTGTCTGAGGGATTGGCGTAAATGCAATAATATCTGAGGGCTTGGCTGTAGACAATGGATTGTGTGATGTGATCTGGATGAAAACTGGAGGCATGTAGTTAAGTATAGTGGTCAGTAGGTCACCATCGCTTATTTGCACTGTAGTGTCCAGGAAGTGGACTGGTCCAGGTTGAGGTTGATGGTGGGGTGGAAATTGTTGAAATCCTGGTGGAATTCTTCAAGAGCCTCCTTCCCAGGGGTCCAGATGATGATGTCATCAGTGTAGTGCAAGTAGGGCAGGGGTACTAGGGGACGAGAGCTAAAGAAGCGCTGTTCTAAGTCAGCCATAAAAATGTTGACATACTGTGGGCCCATGCGCATACCCATAGCAGTGCTGCTGACTTGAACATATAAATCATCCCCAAATCTGTCTGGGTGAGGATAAAGTCACAAAGCTCAGCCACCAGGTTTGCTGTGATATTATTGGGGATACTGTTCCTGACAGCTTGTAGTCCATCTTTGTGTGGAATGTTTGTGTAGCGGGCTTCTGCATCCATAGTGGCTAAGATGGTGTTTTCTGGAAGATCATCAATGGATTGTAGTTTTCTCAGGAAGTCAGTGGTGTATCGAAGATAGCTGGGACTGCTGGTAGCATAGGGTCTGAGGAGAGAGTCCACATAGCCACGCAATCCTGCTTTGTTCACTTTACACGTCTGGATTCCTGTAACAAGCAACAGTAATTAAATCAGGAGGAGAACAGAGCTTGCATTGCAACATCAGGCACAGCGTCCAATCATAAGGCCTGCTTTTTAAGCTTGCATTGCAACTTTAAAGTGGCTGCAGCTCTTAGCATGCTTTATTTTTCAATTTTGCTGAAATTTTTAATATATAACACTTTACCCGTAGACCACAAATTACTGAGTGGTATGCAGGAGAGGACCAGCTTTTTGTGGTAGGGAACCGGTGTAGGGTGTGGCAGATGGGTGATTCTTTTGTCCCCCTTGCTAACAGTGATCTGTTCAAACAGAAGTAATTGGGACACATACTGAAGAGAAGATACTTGGTGTGCTTCTGGAATCTCATTATTGTCTTTTATGCAGGGCTCTTATGTGGTTATACAGAAGGTTCTGGCTTAGGCAAAGACGCGTTGTTTTCCTCAGATATAGACCGCTTAGCCCTTTTGGGAAGCGAACAGTCTAATTAATGCAAACTGTTTTGTCCCATGAGTGCTTCCTTCATTTGATCACTCTCAAAAGTTTTTTACATTCTTATGCAGTTAAGATTTATTGGCTTTGGACTAGTCTCTCTGGACCCTTCAACTGTGAAATCTACAGATTCCCAATACACTCCTTCCGCTAGTGCTGGTTTAGGATCCAGATGTCTGCGGTCTTCTGAGACTCACCAGCAAAGCTTTTGATACGGTCTCCCACAGTATTCTTGCCGCCAAGTTAAAGAAGTATGGGCTGGATGAATGGACTGTGAGGTGGATAGAAAGCTGGCTAGATCGTCGGGCTCAACGGGTAATGATCAATGGCTCCATGTCTAGTTGGGAGCCGGTTTCAAGCGGAGTGCCCCAAGGGTCGGTCCTGGGGCCGGTTTTGTTTAATATCTTTATTAATGATCTGGAGGATGGTGTGGACAGCACTCTCAGCAAGTTTGCAGATGACACTAAACTAGGAGGCGTGGTAGATACACTAGAGGGTAGGGATCGGATACAGAGGGACCTAGACAAATTAGAGGATTGGGCC